GGTTATAGGCGTGAGCCACCATGCCTGGCCTCAGACTTTTTGTTTTCTATTTCACCTTTTGTTTGACTCTAAACAAATGAAAGATAAATTAATTCCCAAGTTCCCTTTTTTGTTTTTATTTTTGGAGTTGGAATCTCACTCCATCACCCAGGCTGGAGTACAGTCACGACAGACACAGCTCACTGCAGCCTTGACCTCTTGAGCTCAGACAGTCCTTCTGCCTCAGCCTCCCGAGTAGCTGAGACTACAGGAGCATACCAACATGCCAGGCTAATTTTTTTTTAATAGAGATGAGGTCTTGCCATGTTGCCCAGGCTGGTCTCCAACTCCTGGGCTCGAGCAATCTGCCCACCACGACCTCCCAAAGTGCTGGCGTGAGCCACCACCATCGACACAAGTTTCCTCTTGGTGGGAGAGTAAAATAGGGTGGTGTGATTGTAAAGAGCAGAGAACCCCTGAGGAAATTCAGCAAATCCAGGTCGCTCCAGGGCTCGGTCTCCCTCTTAGCATCTCTTCTTCCCTCCTCTCTCTCCCCTTCCTCTCTCCTCTCCCTCTTTCAGAGCGTCTCTGCTTCTCTCTGTCATCAGTTGCACTCTCTCCTCTCCAGCAGCAGGCTTCCCCATTCTGTTTTAAAGAGCATACACTTTACCTCCGCCTAACATTAACCTTCATGTGATTTTTGGATCCATTTCACATCAGAGCATCCCTTTCCCTTCAACTTCACTGCTACATTTCTTTTTTTCTGTTTGCCAGTTCCTAATTTGAATCAGAACTAGCTGAATGACCCATCTTTCCAAGACAGTCTGTCTACATAAGCCACGGGCCAGTCTATAAATTGATAGCCTTTGGGCAAGTTGTTTCTTGCTGGTCAATTGTGGCAATTAGTATAAAACATGTCTGCTTCAGCGACAGGGACAGGATGGAGGTGGAAACTTCCTCGTAGAGGGACCTGCAGGCCGGCCAGCGTGATGAACAAGTCCCCTGCAAGGCAGGTGCAGCTCAGTTAACAGAAGCACATTTCCTGGAGCCCCACTTTAAAGGTCACCCCAGTGTTTGCGCCACTGACCTTACACTATGTTAAAAAGCGATCAGTATCTTTATGGTCTTTCCAGGACAAAATCCTTTGGATAAACTCCAAGATAGATGCCTTTGATAGCAACTTCAATTGTGCCTTCAGTATAATGAAGACATTGTAGGGTACAATCTATTGCTTTAATTTCTGATAGCATAAATAATTCAAAAGTCTGACCCAGTACACTGGAAAGATTCCAGGCCTTTGCAGTCAAGTAGTGTTGGGTCATTTGCTCTTTGCACCTTGTGTGACCAATCTTCACACCAGTTTCCTTATCTATAAAATATAGATAAGAATTAAATCCACATTAAAATACTTTCTGCAGTACTTGGCTCATATTAAATACTCAATAAATAGTATCTGTAAGCAGTTATGCTCGTTTCCTAGAATACTTTTCAGGACTTGTGTGACCTGAATGTTACTGACAGAAAGGCATTAAAATAAACTAAGTAGAGACTTGGTAAAGATGGTCTGCATTCTAGAAAAGTGCCCCAAAGCTGTATACACATTTTTTTAGATTCAAAAATACAGTTTATTTAAAAAGTAAATTAGAGACAGAGAGAAAGGTTTCACCTCCCCAAGGTAGGGGAGGGAGCCAAAGCTAAGAAAATATGTGGCCATAGCTCAAAGAACACATGGTCTGGCCAGAACTAAAGGAAAGCAATGGCCCTACACATTTTTAAGAAAGGGAAAAAACTGCATCAACATTGTAATACTCATTATATACTAATAAAAAAAGATGAATACAAGTCACGTTTGACTTCTGCAATGACAAGATCAGCATCTAGACACTTCTGATTACAATGAGCTACTACAGGATTTGCTGTGCGAGGCCTCCCGGATCTTCCCTTGTACACATCACACACAGTACCGTGTGTCTCAGACATCATGAGTGCTTGATAAGTTTGTTAGGCGTGTTGCAGGTTCTGTTGCATACTCACGCCTCCACTGTCGTACTTCCACAACATTCTCCAATTTCAAATATCACTTCAAGATGGGCTTGCACTCCTCGAACGGCAACCGTGCTTCCGCCACTTTCCTTGACTGGCCTGCTTGTTGCATGGTGATGCTACCATTCATTTGATTAATCCCTCTTTTGAGCAAACATCATACTACACATTGCTACCATAATTCAAATCACTTCAAAAAGTAATACATAGATAGCCTCTCTTAAAACGTGAAGGCATTTTCTTGGCACCTCCAGTATTTACTTTCTGGCCATCTTTCGAAATTCACTGAAAATACCAAAATGAACAACAAAAAGAAAGAAATCCTCATCTTCATTGACTCAATTCAACAGCCATATTATCAGTTAGACTTCTTTGCTGCAAACAACAGAAATCAATTCTTGCTGATATAAGCGGAAAAAAGATACAATGCAGAGATACTAGGTAGCTCATTGATCTCCTGGGAAGGCTTGGACAATCAGGGTCAGAAAATGACCAGAGCCGGGTATGGTGACTCATGTCTGTAATCCCAGCACTTTGGGAGGCTGAGGCAAGAGGATTGCCCGAGCCCAGGGGTTTGAAACCCGCCTAGGCAACTTGGCAAGACCTCGTCTCTACAATAAATCAAAACAATTAGCCAGGCATGGTGTCACACACCTGTGGTTCCAGCACTTGGAAGACTGAGGTAGAAGGATCGCCTGAACCCAGCGGGTCAAGGCTGCAGTGGCCATGAGCATGCCACTGCACTCCAGCCTGGGCGAAAGAGTGAGACTATGGCTCAAAAGAAAAGAAAAGAAAATGACCGGGAGCAAATGGAGGTGAGGAAGTGAGAGCCACAACCAAAATTACATCAGCGGAACTACTTGATGAGAAAACTGCTATATGCCACCACCACCAGCCACAAAGAATTGCTGCCACGAAGCCGGGCTCGGTGGCTCAGCCTGTAATCCCGCGCCTTTGGGAGGCTGAGGTGAG